TTAAATATGTCATTTTCCTTATTTTTAACTTATTAATAATCAAAATCAGTATTAATTTAAAACAATTTTTTTTGTTCTTAATTATTTTTTTTTTTTATGTAAATACTATTTTTTAATAATATTAAAATTTAGAAGTGATAGAAAATGTCTAATTGCAAATTTGAAAACGTCGCGAAAAGTTGATTTAGAATAGTATATTTTTGTTTCTGATTAAAGTTCCTTGTAGTACAATGTATAAAACTTATAACTTTGTTAACTGTTATAACTTACTCAAAAAAGNATCAAAAATGACCAAATCAGTATATTTTTTTTTATTTAGATGCATGTCTTTATCTATCATTTGGTTTTTTTTTATAAATCTAACCCTTTACCTTCCCACAAGAGGGATTCAACATATTAACTTTTTTTTTTTAGTTAAAGTAAATCATTAAAATTAATTCAGTTCTGGATATTTCAATTGTAGAATCTTTTTAAATATTAAAAATTACTTAGAAATGATTACTATGATTTCTATTTAAGTGCTCTATTACGATAAAATTGCAAAAAAAATAATGAGTTTTTCTGATAAATATACTGTAAATAGTAATTATAAAATTTCCTGACTGCATATTAATCTTAAAAAAACGGTAGCACAGTGGGATCGCGCCACAGTGTGAACGAGGCATAGATGGGACAAGTATAGATAATATCTGACAGTGATTAAAATCACTATCATAAGAAACCCTTCGATGCAAATCTGTAGATAGTGTTTCATTTAGAGAAACTGGAGTGATTATTCAAAAGCAACATCAACTCTTATTTCTTTAATTATATCCTGATTTGTAGTTCTTTGATTTTAAAATATAATATATCAATAAATACTAATTATAGTTTTTAAATTTAGTATGAAATTGTGAAGTCAGCTATGATGTATGGTTCATAGTGTTGGGCGGTTGATAAGAAAGTAGAGCAGAGAATACGTGTAGCAGAGATGAGAATGATTAGTTGGATGAATGGAGTGAATAGAGAAGATAGGATAAGGAACGAGTATATAAGAGGAAGTATAGGTGTTGCGTCAATCGTGGATAAGATGACTGAAAATAGACTTAGATTGTTTAGTCATGTAATGAGGAGAGAAGAATCGGAAGCTGTAAGAACAGTTATAGAAATGAATGTTGAAGGAAGAAGAGATAGAGGAAGACCAAAAAAGAGATGGAGGGAAGCTATTGAATGCGATTTGAGGACAGCTGATGTGAGCGTAGAAGATGTGGGAGATGGTGTCAAGTGGAAGCGTAGGATAAGGGTGGCCGACCCCGAGTACTTAGGATTTAGGCAAAGAAAAAGAAAAATATTATCAGAAATTCCGGTGGCAATTGACATAATATAATTGTTGTTTCGGAATGTACAATTTAGCGTTTAGTTGGGTTTAAACAATATAGCGTCAAATCAATTACCTACTCTATCGGTTGTATATCAATATACACTACACTTTAATGATACAATAAATAAATAAACTCACACATACACACATATGCATTTATAACATTGTGTAAAATGTAAGTATAACATGATAAAAAGTAACCGTAAAATGAAGAAAATGTTATTTTATATGTAATTAGTAATAATATAAAAATTTAGAACTGATAGATAATGTCTAATTGCAGATCNAGAACTGATAGATAAAGTCTAATTGCAGATTTGAAAACAACGCGAAAATTTGATTTAGAAAAGTATATTTTTGCTTCTGATGAAAGTTCCTTGAAGTCCAGTGCATTCATTTATAGTTACAAACAGGTTTTATTGAAAATGATTGTATCAAGCACTTTATATTTGTATACACCTAAAAGTAAAGCAAAATATAACTTCTTTATTATTTTTATAATTTCTCCGTTTAAATTACAATATTAAATATCAATTTCATACTAAATTTAATAATTATAATTAGTATATATT